AAAGATATATTTATATAATACTTTCATAAGTAGAAGAAGAAAGTAGTACATAGCATGCTTTTCTTTTAAAAAATGTTGTCAATTAAAAAACCATTTGTGTAATCATGTGATAGCTCAATTTAAGTTTGAGCAAAAAAAATTTATATGTAGTTCATATCTAAATATTTGATTGTAAAGCCACTCAATCAAAATTAAAGTAATTTTATTGCTTTTTACCCTTCATTTTTTATTAATTGTAAATGTATATGGGTATAAATACTAAAATTTACTTTTAAATTAAAATTAAATTTCTTACGCTCATGATGAGTCACCTCCTTGATTCCGACACTATGTACCTTTTTTCGCTTGTAAATCACCTACACATTCATAGTTCTCTAATCCCACAATTTTTATAATTCAATTTTTTCAATTAATTGAATATAATCACTTTTACCTAAAATAATAATTTCACCTAAACCTCCCCTCTGTATATACCGGTTGAATTCCTAAATAACAATTAGGTATATTTTCCTTTAAACACTACCAATATTTAAAAATCTATAATAAAAATTAAAATGCTCGCCTCTTCTCTCTCCCCCATGCTATTCTCTTCTCCCTTCTTCTTCTTCTTCTTTTTCCACCGAAACAAGCAGCTCACCCTCACCGAATTCTTCCCTTGCTTCGAAGGCTCTCCTGCACCAACTGAACTCCTTCAGTACAATAAAACCAGTACACTATGCTTTTGCTTTAGAGGATCCCGCAGAACCTGGCTAATGGAATTCGAACGAGAGAGGCTTACATTACAAGGCTATAATACTAATGCTTAAAACCTTCCTAGTCGCTAATTTCATCATCAACGATTGCATGCTTCCTGAAGTGGACGACTTAGTGGAGTTAAAATAGGAATGTGTCTTAGTGTTGTGTTAGTGTTTAATTATACCTTAATTAATAGAAATATTAATACTTACTTAATAGTAAATCTAATTAGTGCTAGTGTTTAATTGCTAATTAAATGTTAACAATAGTTAACAATAAATTATTAATTAATAGTTATTTAATCATTAACACTAAGTTAATAATTAATAGAAATTATTAAGAGTAATTAAAAGGGCAATAGCTTATTAATTAATCATAATTAACTTTTAACAATAATTAAAAGGAATTATAATTTAAACTTTGAGGAAAAGTAAACTTATAGGGAATTTTCATAGAAGTTAATCTTTCGGGCATACTTTGATTAAGAAAAAATTTGTATTTTTGTGTTAAATTTTTGCACGAGTATTACATAATCTATACTCCTCTTTATAATTCTTAAGTAGGTTAACTGTCATGTTGTAATAAGAGGGGAGCTTATAACTAAGACCTATAGTAGCGATGCTATCCATAATTTTCTGTGCATATATTGAATATAAAATGTTAAATGGGACACAATAATCAAAAAACTATCTTGCTAAAGTCATATATATATGCATGATGAATTACTTTCTTAAATGCAAATACACTTTTAATTGAAGGTTGAGAACTTGGTTCAGTTATAGCAGTAAAGAAAGCGTCAACATCAACAAATTTTTTTTTTGCCCTTTAATAAGTTCCTATATATTTGCTTTTGAAGATTGTAATTTAGGTAGAGAAGAAGAATTGTTTCCTTCCTCTACTTTAACATCTACAGGAAATAATAAACTTTCCACTTCCTCTTGTCCTTGTTATTTTCTTTTTGTAATTTCCTTCAATTTGATAGCAAACATCACGTGGGACCTTTTTGCAGGCAGTTATATTCCCCTTAACTCATGCTGAAGGTTATTTTATTCTATTTATTTCTCCTCCCTTGTATGCAATACTATAATGCAAATGTTTGAACAACTTTTTTTCATCAGCTCCTCTAATTCAGTGAAATGATTCCAAATAATGTTCACTTTCTCATGAATATAATTGTAAGCTGTACTATGAGTAGTGGGTGTTTCCATTCTAATATGATTAATTAAATGAAACCATTAAAATTCTTACAATCAAATAAATATGTTACATAAGTTGATCTGAACTCACTCCATTATTTAACATATAAAGATTTGTAAACATAAACAATAAACAAATATTTAGATCTATGCATTTGAACTCATTCCCAATCCTTCAATTATAGTTATGCAAGATTTTGCATTATGACGAAAGCAATATGATTTTGAGATTTGTAGGCATTTATTTGGGACACTCATGCTGGTGATTACATTTTTGTGCAAAAGGGTTTTGGGCTCATTTGGTTGCTTGTAATTAGAACAATTATTTTAAAAAATCATGATTTCATTTTCATTCATTTTATGTAAAGATAAAATCATCACATTTGGGAGATTTTGAAGGCATTTGTAGAGTTCAAAATAGATATTTATTTTTATTAGTAAATAAGTAATCATTTTAGGATAATTATGTTAAATAAGGAGATCAAATATGGTTATATACCGTAAATCTACTATGGATATAATTTTTGTGAAGAGATAATTAATAAAAAAATAGAGAACAAAAGAAGATTTTTCAAATGTTCTTATTAGTGTTAAGAATGAATACAATAACAATTAGTTTTTAGTGCATCATGAATTAAATTAAAATGAAACAAAAAATTTGTTGGCATTTATTTGACCTACAATGGCAGGCATCAAATATGTATATTTAGAGTGGAAGGGGTTGTTGCACCAAGTTCACTTCATATTGTTGTTATTAGGTAGCAATGATCATTGCTTTTCTATTTTTAAAGATTGAATCTGTTAAGTGCTAGCCATATTGGGAAGATATACTAATAATATTTTGCTATATCTATTATTATTGGGAAGCAATCTAGATGAGTTTAAGAAGGCAAAATCAAAGAACAAAATGTTGGCGCCTTTTAAATCAAAGTTATATGCATTCAATATACCAGATAATCATGAAAAATAAAAAAAACTAGAGAGAAAATTAGGTTTCCAAAAAGCTCACATTCCATGATTTTAACTTAGAAGAAGATAGGATAAGGGAGTGATGCCATAAAGGAACACTGTCTGTGCCGGGGTGGAGCTTCGTCACAGTTGTAGGCTCGTAGTCATTTGTCGAATTTGCAAATGAAGAGGAGATGCGAGCGGAGAGGAAGGAACAGGAACTTTGTTCGAATGAAATGAGGTTATATGTTATGGCCTTATGGGATTGGAATAGGAATTTAGTTTTTTTTTTTTTAATTTAAATTTTGATATGGACCGCTTGATTTAAAACCAACGGCTTAGATTTTGATCTACTTAAACCACACATTTTTGGAAAATCGGTGCTGGTTCTCCGGTTTGACTGCCGGCCCGAGAGGTTTCTTACAATCCCGATTTCATGTGTGTCTAACTAGCCGGCCGGTTGGTTCACAGTTCTATCGTTGAAATGGCCAGTTCAATCTGATTTAAAAAAATATGATAAATACTCAATGTATTTAAATTTTAAACGACAACAATAATATAATTTCTAGCTATCTTGTCTAAATTCTTATTTAAGGAAATGCTTTATTTGTACAAGACACCATTTATATTTAAGGAATCTTAATAAAATTTTAGGTTATAGTAGGTTCTCACAAATGTTAAATTAGGTCTTTTTGGTGTTTGTAATACTTAGATAAACAAAAATTCATACAACTAACGTTCAAATTTTTAATATTTTTTTAAAAATAAATTACCAGAAAAGAAAATTTAAAGCAATGGCATAACAATACTATTTAGATAAACAAATTTTTAATATTTGCAGGGTACCTCAAATTCTTCAAATCAGGAAAAAATTAGATCATTTCATTTTTTATTTAAATTTCTGCCATAAGTGGCATATGCATTCAAGCTCCTTGACCAAGAATTCTTTGGAGCCCTCTGCTCTGATACTTATATAATATAGTGTATATAAGATTTTTATGTTGAAGGAAGTGACTTGATTAGTGTCCTCTCATAATAGCGATGAAATGGTTTTTTAGGGGGTGGTGAAATGAGAAGTCAAGTTTTTGGACAATTTTAGATTTGAAACTTCTAGGCTAAAAATAGATAAGGTTTCCTTGTAGAAAAATAATGAGAAGCTCTAGATCAAAGGTTTGAGATGTTAGGGAACTAATGGTTGTATTTTTTGGATTTAGACCAGTGGTTGAGGAGTTATGATATTTTAATTCAGTTGCTCACTACAAGAAATTGACTCTCTCTATATTATAAATTTGACTATGATATACTAAATTTATTGGGGAGTTGAGGGATTGTAAGGTGATAAGAGATGTGTGGGGATATTTAGAAGAATTTTGGAGAGTTTAGATTTGTTTTCTAAGACACTCCGCACCATTGGCAACAAAGTTGCTATTTTTTGTGCTCCTGTCGCTCTTAATTATAATTTTGTATGAAAATATAGTGACAGTGATAGTCTTCCTTCATCTTTTTTGTCATTATTAGAGAAATATGGTGATGGAATTTTGCACACATAATTGTAATTTTTGTAAGTTATTTATATATTAATGCAAATGTACATTTAAAAAAAAAAATCAAATATATTTTCAATATAATATGTTTTATTTACATTGCATTTCACTTAAAGTGCATTATATTTTAGCTTATCAACAACTCCTTAGTAAGATAAATTAGAAAGATTTACATGCATATCACTTTATTTTATGCTATTTACATATCTAACATTCAAAACTTTAATATTACATTCATACCACTCATATCACCATAAAAATTTTAATATTTCATTCTATGCACTCATATTTGTTTATGAGTGATAAACAAAATTTTAAGTATTAGATATGTAAATAGTATGAAATAAAATGATATGTATCTGAATCCCCGAGAAATTATTACATGTGGTCATCGGATATCATCTTGAAACAAATCAGGACGCACCACAACATTTTTATTGTGTACTAATACTATATACTGCTATATATCAGATGACATAATGCATCCTTATTGACCTTCGAAAAATCTGATAATCGTACTTAATAATTTCTCTATTTGGTAAATGCTAATGGTAGCAAAATTGAGGATTATTTCTACCAAGTAGCCACCACTTCTTTGAGGGGAGCTCAAATCGTTACATTTGGAATCGACGTGAGAAAAGCCTCTTAGACGGCTTATGACGGCAGTCTACTTGGGCAGCGGCGGCTTCACCAGCGGAGCTTTCTCAGGCCATTTGTTTATCCCATCAAACTATTTATCGTTGCAATGTCGTTCGCCATTCGTTTCTTCTCCGGCTAGGCCTAATTGGTCCTCAATTTCCTCTAGTTTCCTCTTGGGCGATTTCCACCTCTGTAAAAACCCTAGATCAGTGCTACTCCGCCCTGCTTGGAAATGTCAATGGCGCAAGCGCGGCGTTTTTGTGGCGAAGGCGAAGGATTTCTACGAAGCTCTCAATCTCAGCAGGGATGCTACTATCAAGGAGATCAGGAGCTCCTACCGAAACCTCGCCCGCAAGGTTTTCCTTCAGAAAATTGTCCCGTTAGTTATTTTTTACGCCGGAGAACATCTTATTAATCTCTTTTTAGCCCCATTTATTTAGAATGAATCATTTTACTTGAAGGAAAGGTTTCTCTCTAATCAAATTTATTTTCGCTTGATACGCGCATAAATTTTCCGTTTTGTTTTTCTGGGCAGAGCTTGGTTAACGAAGCTGGTCTTGTTGAAAATTTTTAACTGGATGGTACCAAGACCTAGGGAAGAATGTTGGGAACGGGGTTGGATTATATGCATAAAAGGTTTGAAACAATCGGTAATTGAGGCCTTTTTTGTTCGTGAGGCTAGGCGTAAGCCTCAAAATCAAAAGTTTGTGTAAACATAAAATGATAAATTTTTATATACTAATGAATAAATAATATAAAACATAAGAAGGCACAATATATCCTAATAATAAGACAACATGAAATATAGTTCAACTCAAATTCTATCTTTCCCAAATCACAGTATTCTTTTCATTAACATATAATTCCAAAAATAAATAGCAATGACATATCACATAAGAACTCATAAGTCATTAGCACTGTCATCACTAAGGGGGTCTTCATTTGAATCATCATTATGATGAACTTCTCTTTCCCCTTCCTCCTCTCCTATAGAGTCCAATGTCTCCTAATCAGTTACTTCTTCCTCAATATCAATTATCTTCCTCTTCTCTAAATATTTTAGAACAATATTGATGCAATCAAAAATTTGGGAGAGGGACCCAAATTTTTGATCACAAAAAGAAATACTCTTTCTAGGATGATAGAAAGACATAAAATACTTAAAAGAACACAAATACTATAAAACACAACTTTATATAATAAAACGACTTACAAACTTTTGACTCAAATGACACTTACAATTTGGACGCTTACAAACTTTGACACCAACAAAATGACACCCTAAACTTGCTTACTTTGAGAAGAGGGATACAGGTGAGGTGGCACTTGCGGATAGAAGAAAGAGATTAGGAGACGAGACGAAGGTTGGAAAGAGCCCGCAGGATTTCCATAGGAGGAGGGGAAGAAGATTGGAAAGAGCCCGCAGGATTTCCAAAACAAAAACCTCTCAGGTTTTCTCTCCAAAAATAACTCACATCATCTTTTTTCATAACATCTTATGCCAAAGCATTTCATACTTATAAGCAAAGAAGAAAGCCCAACAGCCAATGCACCCATAATTCCTCCAATAACTTTAGGGATAGGAAAAGCCAAAAGACACTTCAATTCCAAAGCAGCAATATCCATAGGTTTTCAAAATCCACTTAGGAAAACATCCCAAGCAGGAATCATTGGTAACTCACGGCATCAAGCAGACAGGCTGAATTTTCAAAGCAGCACATTACACGGAAAAAGCATTCCTATTCAGAAATCAGCCCCATTATTAAATCTGAAGAAAAAAGCTATAGGAAACAATGATATCTCACGGCTCCATAAAGCAAGCAGCCCGTCCAAAGCAGCAAAGCATCGGGAACAATTCATTCCTGTTGGAAATCAGCCCCATTTAAAATTAGCACAGGAAACAAAGGGCTAATCATGGAACCAAAGAGCCCATGTCACGGTAAGCAAGCATCCCATCAAAGCTTTATATTCTCTGGAGCCAAAAGTTCATGGAAAAAAGGCCAGGCATGGAATAATCAACCGCTGCATTAAAAACATTAACTTTCAATAAATTCAAAACATAGAATTCAGCCCCACTTAATTAATCAAGCCACGGTTTTCCAAGAGACAAAAAAAAAGGGAAGGGGAAGGGACAAGAAAAAGGGGGAAGAAAAAAAAATATTTTAAGAAATAATGAGCTAATTTTTAGTTCAATAAATGAACTAAATTATTGAACTAAAAATCAGCTCATAATGAGCTAATTTTTTTACTAGACATTAATGAGCTAGAGGAGTCAAAAATCAAATATTAGGATTTGATTTGACCCCCCTTGCTACATCAAATATCAAAATGAATAATATGTAATACATTAATTTTAGAGGCGGACGCTCTCTAAACCTGAGGCAAGCACCCTTAGTAACTTGAGGAGTATGCCTCAATCCCCGATCTAATTGCGTAGGCTTTGAGGCTTAAAAGATAACATTTCGATGAGGCGCGCCTCTTATTGCACAATTTTAACCATGTGTTAAACTTTATTGATAAGAACTTAAGAGTCTTTTGATGGTTTTTTGTAAGCACCTACTTTTAGTCTCGTGGCTAGAAATAATTGTGATAAGGCAGTGATGATGGCTAGAAACATGATGCTTTAAGTGAATGTGGCCTTGAAAAGTTGATTGACGCTGATTTATGCTTATTTTATATATATTAGAGTTTTTGAGAGAAAAATAACGGCTAAATTTTTTTTTTCTTTAATGTTTGCCATTGTTTGTTCACGAACATTATTTGATTTTCTATTAAGTTGTCCCTTGACGCAGACTTAAAATTATAACATTGTTTGACTTGGCACAATAATTTTATAATAAAACCTCAAATTGATGCTTATACAGTCTAATCTTCCGTATTGTAATGCGATACTATGCCTCCAACATATTAGTCCAGATGTTATTCTTTAAATGATTTCAATTAATGATTACTTATACACAGCCTGAGACCCTCATTCATACATCCCAAGAAATATCAATAACTCTGTGGTTCTTTTAAGTTGGGTTCCTTAGCAGCCTGTTACTGGGTGCATATCTTCTACAACTTGCTTACTTAGCTCCTTTCTTTTTCATTTATAGGGTTTATTGCTTTTATCTTCTTTGGTAGGTTGGTGAATTTTTGTTAGATAGCAGTTATATTTGAATTGAGAAAACTTGCAAGTATTACATTATGTGTTTGTCTGCTAGCGTATTGTTTCGTAATTTATGGTTTCATTATTTTCCTCCCTGTAACACTATGCATTCCCACTATTTTTGAATTGTTTCTTTTTGGAACATCAAGTTTCAAAATTCAGCTCCATGATATTATTTTCTCTCCATTTACCAACTAGAAGAATCATTTTGATGTGAAACAAAGTCGGAGTTACTTAGGAAATTAAAGATAGCGAATTAACAAAATGTTTCCACAATAAATTATTACTTATAGCAATGACTGATCCTTAGAATTCTTGGTTTTAACTTGCTTAGGCAAAGAAGAGCAAAGCCGATTTCCAAACAATTCAAGAAAACACAAGAGGCTTTGTAAAACTACGACGATACACAAGAAATCCATGATTTAATATGAGAACTTTCACCTTTGGAGCCCATACGCTCAACTAGTCTAGGCTTTAGCGGAAGAAGAGTCTCCACATTAGAACCGAGGTCACTCCGAGGAAGATGGAGCCTAAGATCGGTCGTTCTTGGATAGAGTGGCAGGAGTGGTGGAGGATGACGGTCGTCCATATGATCCAACGTCCATTTGATCTTTGCTTGTCGATCACATCACTAATGTGTAATACCGCGATGTAATCTTCATCGTGTTGTCGAAATCAAAGCCCACATCAAAGAACGGTGATTGGAGGATGTCAACTTGATCTCGCTCGTCATGTACGAATCCAAGTTCCATTCAAATTCGGGGTCCGCCATGCATGGTGGGATCTGTGGGGAAGTGATGCATTTAGATTTTTGCATTATTTTTTGTTATGAACAATATTAGTTATATTTCTTATTTTTTGTTTTTTTTTTATGCTATCCAATGATGGTGGTAAATTCCAATTATCATGGTAGGAAGAGGTTTGGTTTTTGCTTCCTTGGGTTTGCCGGCTTTGGGGGTCCATTTTGTCTTTGGATGTTTGCTGGTTTCATGAGGGCATTGCTGTTTCGGTTTGAGCTTAAGTAGTTGAACATTAGTAGTTGCCAGCTCATTAATATCTAGTGGAGGGAGTAGCTCATTATGAGATGATGTTTAGTTATAAAATTATGTTGGGAGAAGATTTGGTGGTGGAACTGATCTTCCACATCTTCTTGAATTGGAGTTGCTGCCGCTTTTCTTCTCTGGATTTTTCTCTCACGGGCTGCTGCTCTCTTCGGGTGACTGCCTACTTTACTGCTCTGGCACCTCTTTTTGACCGAGAATTGATTTCCCTGAATTGCCTCCTGGTTTCCTGTGCTGAAACCGTGGCTTGTGCTTGTTCCTGGCTGGTTGTGCTTGTTCCTGTGGTTTCGTGACTTTATCATTGGAATTTTGATGTGGCTCTTGGGATTTCAAGCGGGGAAGGTTCTTGGCTTTCATTTATGTATGGGATTTGAGAACTTTGGCTGTTACGTTTCCCCTCTATGGCCTATATATATGAGATATTTTGAGAAGAAATGGTGGTGAATATTTGAGAGCAAAGTGCTTTAACCTGCGGGTTCTTCTTGGAAAAGCTTGAGAGCTTTGTCCACCTTCTTCCCCCCTCTGGAAAGCTTGCGAGCTTCTCCTCTTTCGTCTCGGCTTCTAACCTCTTTCTTCTCTACGCAAGTTCCACTCCACCTGTATCTTTCTTCTAGTTCCGTTGGTGAAGTTGTTGGCTGTTTTTGTTGGCTGTTTTAGTGAAGTTGTTGGCTGTTTTGGTGAAGTTGTTGGCTGTTTGGTGAAGTTGTGGGCTGTATTGGTGGCATTTGCTGGAGAAGTTTGAAAGGACATTGGAATCCCTTAGCTGTGGTGGACCCTTGGTTTGCATATCTAAACCTTATTTTAAAATATATTCCTACAATCGGTGCATGTGAGGAGTCCTCTTGTAGGATGTTCTGAGGATAGCCTTTTTTTTAAAAAAATATTGTTTCTTTGTTAGTTTTCTTTTGTTTTAGTCGTTGGAAGTTGCTTCTTTCCTTTTCTGAAGTTAGTTGTTTTCTCTAACCTATTTTGTTCTCTAAGTAATATCTTAAATTTATAAAAATAAGATTTGATTCTCTTTGTTGTTCTCTCTTTGTATTTGCTTTAATTTGCTTACATCAGGAAGACAAAAGAGGGAGGTGGGAGAGGGGGCTGTGAGTTAGGGAGAGAGTGGTCATGAGTTTGAGCTAGGGGAATTCGGTTATGGTGGGGTCAAATGGTAGAGTGCAGGAATTCTGAATTAATTTCAGAATTTGGGAGGTTTAATGGTGGGATTTAAGGGGGGGGGGCGGTAAAGAGAGGGGAATTTGTGGAGCTATTAAGGTGATTAGGAGAGAGAGAGGAGGCCATTAAGGGGGCCGGCCACATGAGGAGGAGAGAGGGGTGAGTTTTGAATAAGTGGGGACCACCAATTTAATTTCAGATTTTACAAAAATCTGAAATAAAATTTTAGTTTTCTTAAGGAGAGAAAACTTCCATTTAGGAGGGCAATCAATTGAAACAATTTGAATTTCAAATTCGAAATTGAAAATCAATTAAATTGATGGCGTAAATTAAGGAGCTAAATTAGGAAACAATTAACGGCTCATGACAATTTGAAATTTCAAAATTTGAAACTCCATGGAAGGTGAGGCCGGCGGCTAGAGGAAGGGCAAGGGGTGGGTTACGGTGTGGGGTGGCCGGCCGGATGGATGTGGCAGCCAATTGGCCGGCGGCTTGGGCGGCTCAGGGCTAGGCGGCGGCAATTGCAAGGGGAGGAAGAGAGGGAAAATTCAAGGGATTCCAGCGACTACGAATTTACTAACTTCGATTATCTTCCACCCGGATTTCCACACAAATAACTTGGACGAAATCTTGAACTCACAAAGAGATATAGTTTCTTCGTCGAACTCACTAAGAGATCTAGGAGAAGTGCACTCACAAAGAGAACAAAGAGTAATATTTTTCATTCATCAAAACTTCTATTACATGAGAAAAGGGCCATATATATAGGCCACCAAATGATAAAGAAAATAAAAGACTAAAATGCCCCTTGGGCTATAATAGCGACTAAATACCCACAAGGGCAAAAGCTGAAAAACATAAAAATAAAATAAAATAAACTACTACATAAAATGACAAAAATACAACTCATGATCATGGCCGTCGATCTCCGGCATCTCCTGATGGTACATGTGTCGAAATCGCTGATGATGTCCTCATCACATTTCTTGCGGTATTCAATATTTTTCCTTGTTATTTTCTTGATATAGCAAGCCCGTTCCCGAAGAGATTCCAATCTTAAACTTGAAGATTGCTCGAGGGTCCCCTTTTTTGTGCTGCTGATGTTGCTTTTTCATTTGATTAACTAAGGTTATGTTCGGATATAAATTATGCACTTGTCTTCCAAAATAGGTTTTTACTTGGGTTTAATAAATTATAAAGTAGAACATTCCTTGAACTTTTGACCATGGTTCTGGAGGACTAGTAAGGTAACTTTTGCTAGTCCAGGAGAAAGATGAATTGGACTGAAACAGGTTTTACACAGAACAAGATGACATTAGTAATCTCAACATCAACATGTTTCTTATAAACGTTTGTTTTCCAGCATTTTCTTTAATAAAAAAATCCATTTGACCATCTGCATGCTTTTTGATTTGAAATATTTCATTTTACAGTCAATTTCTTTGTAGCCATTCACCGATAATTAGTTTTTTTTTCCCTAACTCTTTCTCACCCCTTGTGGTGATAGAAGTTTATCTACTTGTTACCTGGTCTATATTAATTTATAGCTTATGATCTGCATTGAGGACTTGATATTATGTTTTTGTTCCAAAGTCTCTTCTTGTGAAACTTGAGTGATATTGGCAGATAAAAAATGAGTATTGCAGATATTACTATTTCCCAAGGTTTATAACTCTTGTTAATACAATTTTTTTTTTAATAATAGTATCATCCAGATATGAATAAAAACCCTGGCGCAGAAGAGAGATTTAAAGAGATAAGCGCTGCATATGAGGTACTTATTTTCACTTCTTACTTCTTTAGCTTTATTTCTAATTAATGCAAATTTATTCCACTCTTTTTCTTGAAAGATGCAATCATAATCCCCAAATGGCAAATAAAAACCAAAAAGTGTGTACAGATTCTGTAAGGTTTGCCATTTATGAAATTAGAACAAGATGTAAAAGTGAAATAATTAAGGGCCTGTTCGGTTTGAAGTAAAATGGGTGGAAATTATTTCATATGTAGGAGTTTTGAAAATATTGATGTTTGATTTGATGTAAAATAAATGTTGAGTAAAATTTTGATGCTTCAGGTTTTAATTTTATCTATTTATATTGCATCATTCTAATTATGTTGGAAATCCCAATCCTGAATTGTCTTGCAACAATGTAAAGTACGAAACATATTTGTTCCTTAATCAGATTTTAAAACAAAAATATTTGAGAGCAGGAGGTTGATGCTACTGGCTTTATCGAGGGAGGTATTATTGCTGTGAAAAAATAAAAGCTTCAAGCTAACCACTCTGAAGCGTTAGACTGAGAGGCAAACTTTTACAGATTTGAGCAGAGATTGCTCTTTCAATTAACAGAATTAAGGACAATCTGTGTGCTGCTTTTTTCTGTTGTTTCCTATTTTATTGGATGTTTAATTAGTGCTTTGGTAGATTAACAGCTTCCTCCTTGACACTGAATGCACTGGTTGTCATGGTTCCTTGATTTACATTTTGTTCTGGCCAGATAAAGATAAATTACTTGTGTAGGTGCTATCAGATGAAGAGAAAAGATCTTTTTATGATCACTATGGTGAGGCTGGTCTGCAGGGAGATTATGCAGGAGCAAATGCTGTCCCACAAGAGGTAAAAACATATGTACTTATTTTCTAATATTTCTAAGTATTTTTTATCATCACAATGCTGACCATGTATGTTACAAGCCTTTATGGTAATCAGCTGTAAAATAATTTAACCTATTTCCACCTGCTTCCCTCATCTTTACAAATATTAGATTGACCCTTTTGAAGTCTTCAATGCTTTCTTCGGCCAATCAAATGGACTTTTTGGTGATGAAAAAGACCCTGAGCGAATGAACTTTAGTTCAAGGTTTAAGCAAAGCTTGGGACTTGATATTCGGTAACCCTTACAATCTTTAATACTAATTATTTGTGATATTTTGAAAATGAAGATCTTAGAACTTCTTACAATGATCTTTTTATGTTTTTGTAGTGGAGGGCTATTACTCTTGTCATATTGTGCTAAGTTTTTTGGACTCTTCTTGTCGCTGAACTTTCCCTGATGGCTCTAGGCTTGCTGAAATATTTTCTCGTGTTGTTAATATTTTAAAAAAAGAATTGTTATAAACTGCCTATGTTACCTGCCTAACACTCATTTCTTAGTAGTACATGTATGCAGCATTGGCATTCTAAAGTTTTTATCATTATTGTGGAAAGTGAAGGTTAGAAAAAATTGATTCTTGTTTTGAATCAAGGTTAGAAAAAAATTGATTATTTTCTTAATGATTCAAGGTAATAGATACAATATATATACACTATTCTATTAGAAAGAAAAGGAAACTAACTTCATCAAAAAACGACAAATATATATAACATTACACCTCTAGTTGAACATTACATTTAAACTTAATAACATCTCTAATGAGTTTGCTTAGTCCTTCATTGAATTTGTATGCTCTTTAGGAATCCCCTAGATTTCCTTTTTGAGGCAATCAAGACATCCAATATGTCCAACAATCCCCCTTCAAGTTGGTGAATAGGCGTTTTTCATTCCCAGCTAGGAAACAATTTTTTGAAACACTCCAATGCTTAATCGTTTGGTAAGCACATTTGCAAGCTTCCCACCAGGTACGTAGGCTGTGCAAATCAAGTCACTGGCTAGATTTTGTTTGATGAAGTGTTGATCAGCCTCTATATGCTTTAGTTGATCGCGCTGCACTTGATTATGAGCTGTCCTGATTGCAAACTTACTGTCACAATAAAGTCTCATCAAGCTATCGTATTGAGTATTCAAATCCTCGAGAATGATTTTCAATGCAATAGTTTGCAAATACCCTAAGCCATTGCTTGGAAGTCTACTTCGACATTTAATGTTGCCACCACATTTTGCCTTTAACTTTTTTAATTTATTACTTTTTTTTTGCATTTTGCCTTTTAGCTTCTCCATATTATAAGGTTTCCACTAAGAGAAGTGCAATGTCTGCAAGTTGATCTTCTATCCAATGTTTAAAATTGCGTATTCGGGTATTGAGGCGTTTTTCATTCGTGAGGCGAGGCGTAAGCCTCAAGGCGTTTTGAGGCGTAAACCTCAAAATCAAAAGATTGCGTAACATAAAATGATAAATTTTTTATATAATATATACTAATGAGTGAATAATATAAAACATTAAAAAAAAAAAACATGAGATATGAAGTGAAATCACAATATTCTAATAATAAGACAACATGAAATATAGTTCAACTCAAAATTCTATCTTTCCCAAATCCTAGTATTCTTTTCATTAACATATAATTCTAATTTCCAAAAATAAATAGCAATGACATATCACATAAGAACTCATAAGTCATCCGCACTGTCATCACTAAGGATTTCTTCATTTGAATCATCATTATGATGAACTGCTCTCTCCCCTTCCTCCTCTCCTATAGAGCCCAATGTCGGGCATTTACTTTAAAATTTATGTAAGTTTTAATATATATAGCGTGAGGCGAGGCGGGCTTCAAGGCGGGCCTCAACCAAATTGAGGCGCAAGCCTCATAAAAAAAACTTGAGGCGTAAGCATCAAGGCGTTTTTTACTGAAATTGCGCAAAGGCGGGCCTCAAGGCGAGCCTCATATTGCGCAATTTTAAACCATGCTTCTATCCATAATTGAGTTGATATAGTTGACATTTGTATATGCTTCAAGTGCTAAGCATGCGCTTTTTTTGAACATGTGTGCAAATGAATGCCCTTCTAACAGTCTACTTGCTTGTTTCATGCCAATTCCTCCCTTTTTTGATAGGTGGTTGTTTGTTATACATATGTTGAGAGATGAAGATTCTTTGTATGGAGTGTGCAAATTCAATTTCTAGGAAGCACTTCAACCCTCTGTTAGGAAACACTTGAAGATCTCAAGAATTTCCTATCAATATTTGGAGAACAACAAAAGTTCTCCGCAAGAATCCACACAAAATCAGGAAAACAGTAGATAATTTGTATTATTTGATGACATAGAAATAGAAAATACCAAGATACAATTGATCCTCTACTCGAGAGGAGGATCTCTCTCTCCTAAATTTCTAAACGCCGCTAGAGCCCAAAAACCTAAACCTAAGAGATTTCAAATTTCAGCCAAATTCAAGATGCCCTAACTATAGGAAAACAAACTATTTAATGTATACATTTCAAAAGGAAATCCCTAAATATCCCCTCTTTTATTTTGAGCATGTAATATCGACAATTTGTATGGCGCACTCATAAATAATTGATGGCCCTTGCATGAAATTCAAGCCTTATTGTGTACTGCTTAGTAATGAAGGGCCTTGATGTTTATTTTGTTGATTGAGTTTCCTTATTTTGTTTTAGGTATGACCTTTCTTTGAGCTTGGAGGAGTCGATTTCTGGTGTACAGAGAGAAATAAACATAGCATGTTATGAGACCTGTGACAGTTGTAATGGAAGTGGTGCGAAATCCAACGAATCCATAAAGACTTGTTTAGAATGTGAAGGCAGAGGTCGGATGATGAAAACCCAAAGATCACCATTTGGAGTAGTATCACAGGTGCGTGAATTTTGAGAATGAAATTACTTTACGTATGATTTAAAATTTAAGCATGATTTCTCTGTTATCATCTGGACTGTGTTTCATCTTTCAGCTGCAATTGCCAGATTTATGTTGATTTAATCATAATGCAGATCTAGCCGTTGGCTGACCTAGTTTAGCTGCTTTGGGTGATTGATGATTGAGTGTGAGTCAAGGCTCATTGAGATTGACTGCAAATTTAACAGAGCCGCCTTTTTTTTTTGGCTAAAAGATCTTTGTTTGGTTGGTACTTTTCTCGCGCACTAAGCACAGATGTGCCTGCCTCTGAACCTGGCCCGGGAGGGTATACCTTAAGTTTAACAAGCTAAACTAATAAGAAAGTTGAAACTTGAGTTGGGTTGGGTGATTTTTAAGCCCCTGGTCCGGAAAGTTTTATGCGTCTACCAAATGACTTGATCTCCTAATCTGAACCCACAATCCTTGCCCATGAATCAACATAAGGTTTTTTTGAATTTCAAGTTGAACTTTCAATAATAGATAATGATACACCTATAAGAGAAGTGAAATTGAGAAATTGCTAATTAAGGAACGAAGAAGTAAGTTGCAATTCAGAAACTGAAACAAGTTCCTTGTGCAAAAATTTGAAGAAAGAGTCTACTAAAGACAACTTCTACCCGTTCCTGAAAGATCTTCCATCAACCATCAATGATGTTCCGTTAGTGGTGGTGGTGGTCTACCAATCAAGTGAGCTGGAGCAGTGATAATAGCAAGAAGTGAGCTTAAAAACGAACTTAGAAGGTAATCCCTTCTCATTAAAACATTAACGATGAAGCAAATGTCTTAAATATCAAAGGTATAAATATATAGCAATTGCCATAATCTTTTCAAGCCATAAGTGATTTGTTTTTGTGATGCAATCAAAAATTTGGGAGAGAGACCCAAATTATTAATTCTCGGTAAAAAGGGGACCATGGGATAATAATTTCAAGAGCAAACCAAAGGGTTAAAGCCATTAGGGAACCAAAGCAGCCCAAGTGACAATAGGGAGATGAAAGGTCAAGTTAATGAAGAGAAAGAAGAGGGGGAAGGAGAAAAGACACAAGGGAAGAAACCTAAGAGCCACAAGGAGGAGGTTTATGAGCTTAAAACACTCTACTAAATATTAATGAGCTGACATTTAGTAGAGGAAATTAAAACTCACCAAAAGTAAAGCTCAACTTGTTTTGACCCCCCCTTGCCTACATCATTTTGTCCAAACTATGGATCCATACAAGATAGCAGGTTTAGTGCGGTTAATTTTCTATCTATTGAAAATTTTGTGGTCGAGGATTTGTCTAATTACTAAAGCAGAACTTTCTAGTGCATTGATACGCCTAGGTATCAAAACAGCCAACAAACCAAGAGATAACTAAGAAAATCGTAGATTTTTATTGATAAGAAACGCTAATCGAACAAGCAAGATACAATGATCCTCACTTTAGGGGAGGAACTTCTCTCCCAAACCCTAGACGCTGCTAGGATCCCTCACAAAAACACTTGACAATACAAACTCACAAAATTCTGCATAAAAAAACTCCAAACAAACCCTAAAACAGCCCTAAATAAGCTCTCCAAATTCCCTCTCAAACAATCTTCTTTCCTTACTAATCTCCCTCTATTATTTGATTTCAAACCCTATAATAATTCTTCCTTAATCCTTTTCCTAACATAAGAAATTATTGGTTTGTTGGGCCTCACAATTGGGGCTGAATTTCCCTCTCCTGCTCTAGGTATGCGTGCGGCTCTCGTGTGTGTGGCTCCAGCTCCAACTTCCGCTATCTGAGTCGGGCTGGCCTTGTTGCAGACTGAATTGAATGGACTAGCTCAGTCGATCCATCAATACTCCCCCCTCCCCCCCTCGAAAAAAAAAAGAAAAAAAGTGTCACCTTATCCTCAAGGTGGAATGAAGGGAACCGCTGTTGAATAATCTGGTAGGACTCCCACGTGGTCTCGTGCTCCGGTTGATTCTTCCACTTGATCAACACTTCTTTTCTTCCTGTTACTACCCGGCGCACCCCTTCGACCTCTAATGGTTCTAACAACATCTCCATTTCGTCCATCAAGGTAGGGGGAAGTGAAGAAGATGGAATGTGCTCACCTATCGCCCATCGCAATTGGGACACATGAAACACCGGGTGGATGGTTGATGACGGTGGTATTTGTAGGTGATGTGCCACGTCCCCTATGCACTCCTTTATCTTGTAAGGACCAAAGTATCGGGGTGATAACTTATCATTCCGTCTCCGTGCCAAGGTTTTTTATTTGTAGGTATGAAGCTTCAAGTAAAATTTGTCTCATACTTCAAACTAAATGTCTCTTCTGTGTGCATCAACTTTCTTCTTCATAATTTGTTAAGCTCTCAAGAAATGCCCCTTCAGCTCCCCACGATCCTGTCTCTCTCCTCCAAGTCTTATTCTACCGAAGTAATCGGTGTGCTGCCTTGCCCATAATATATCAAGTGAGGTGGATCTTATTCATATAATAGTTTGAACGGTGTAGTTTGTGCTGCCGAATGATATGAAATGTTATACAAATACTCTGCTCAGGCCAACCATTTTACCCACAACTTGGGTGTATTTGATATAAAGCACCGCAGATAGGTCTCCACATTCAGAATGGTCCCCTGCATTTTAAATAATTCCTAGAACTGGCTTAGGAAGATATTGTCCTTGTCTGCTATAATCGATTCCGGGATCCTATGTAGTCTCACCACTTCCCTTATAAAAATCTTTGCTATTGATACTGCTATATAGGGGTGGCGAAGGAGAATGAAATGAGCATACGTACTCAACCGATCCACTACCACCAGTATAGTCGTGTATCCTTTTGACTTTGACATCCCTTCACTGAAGTCCATAGTCACCTCCTCCCACACCTTTTCTAGTAGAGCTAACGGCTGGAGGAGCTCTCCTTGAGACATAGCTAAATACTTTTTCCTTTGGCATATATCATAGCAAGCCATCATCTTCTCGAAATCCTTTTGCATATCCTCCCAATGCAGCTCCGTGGAGAGTTGATATCTTTTTTGGCCCCCGAATGCCCTTTTGTGGCAGTCTCATGAAACTCCTGAAACAAGCAAGGAATGTAATAAGAGGTATTTGGAAGCACAAACAACCCATAATGAACCAACTTCTGTCCCACCACTGAATATCCTAGATGATTATCCTTATTTCATGCCAAATCCTCCCTATTTTTTCTTAAACTTGCATCTTGTTTGCTCTCTCTCAGTACTTCCCAGTTAACCACCAAGGGCACATACAATGCCATCATCTGTGGTTCCCCCATGCACCTGTCCCATCTATTGATTTGTTTTCCACTCTGGGTCGGTACAAAATCTCAAATTCATAGCCTAATAACTTGGAAAGCCACCTTTGATGCTCCTTAGTTATAATTCTTTGTTCCAACAAATACTTCAAACTCTTTTGGTTAGTTCTGATGATGAAATGCCTTCCTAATAGATACGGTTGTCATTTCTGTATGGTCAACACAATCGCCATCAGCTCTCTCTCATAGATTGACTTGAGCCTGGCCTGGGCTGTCAACACCTGGCTGAAATAGGCCATTGGCCTTTGGTTCTGCATGAGTACTGCTCATAACTCAAAATTCGAGGCATCTATCTCAACTAGAAAAGGATGGCTAAAATCTGGAAGAGTTAAGACTGGCACACTAGTCATAGCATTCTTCAACTCCTCAAAAACTGGGTGGCTAACTCTCCCCACTTGAAGTTGTCCTTCTTAAGCTGTTCTGTCAATGGCCTTGCTATGCAACTATATACTTTCACAAATTTTTTATAGTAGCCAGTGAGTCCAAAGAATCCTCTCAGCTCCTTTAAATTCTTGGGTATGGGCCATATGAGCATGTCCTCAATCTTACTCTGGTCAGTTGCCACTCCCTCTTGAGATACCACATGCTGTAAATACTTCACTCTAGGCTGAGTGAAAGAACACTTCTTCTGATTGATAAACAAGGAGTGCTCCCTTAAGGTGGACAACACAACTCTCAGATGCTCCAATTGCTCCCCCTCAGACCTTCTGTATACCAATATATCATTAAAAAATTCTAGCACAAACCTTTGCAAGTAGGGCTTAAATATCCTATTCATCAGGGATTGAAAAGTTGTCGGTGCGTTGGTGAGGCCAAACAACATTACCAATAACTCATAGTGTCTCTTATGCGTTTGAAAAGTTGTCTTGTGAGTGTCTCCTTGTTGCATTATGATCTAATGGTATCTAGATTTCAAGTCGATCTTGGAGAATATCACATATCCATGTAGCTTATCTAACAGCTTATCGATGACTAGTATGGGAAACTTGTTTGGTATTATTTCCTTATTTAGTACATGGTAGTTAGTAGTTTACTTTGAACCTTTAACTTCCATCATTCTTCTTCACCAACAATACATGACTAGAGAAAAGGCTCACACTGGGTTTGATAATTTCATCTTCAAGCACCTCCTGAATCAGTTTCTTAATCTCGTTTTTTTGGATCTGAGGGTAGCGGTATGGCCATACATTAATGGGGGATACTCCTCCCTTCAAAACAATAGAGTGCTCGTGCTCCTGTGGGGGTGGTAATCCCTATGGAAGTTGGAATACCTCCCTGAATTGTTGAAGGGGCTGAACAATGTTTGGAATGTCCTCTCCATCCTCTATCTCTCCTCCCTCTAGACTCTGTCTGGAATTTCATCTCCATCCTCTATCTCTCCTCCTTCTAGACTCTGGAGCTCCACCAAGAATCCCCCTCCTTCCCCTTGTAGGGCACAAACCATAGTTTTCAAAGAAACCATTACCTTGGATAAGATGGGGTCTCCATTGATTATCACCTTTCTCCCTCTCCCCATCACCTGGATCTCCATGGCCAATGTCTTCCAATTCACCTTGGTCTACCCCATGGTTTGTAGCCATTTCATTACCAAATCAAATATGTACTTCTCAACTCCAATGGATGGAAATTCTCCCTGATGTGAATCTCTTGTAGCTTTACCACCATGACATATCTCTCTTCTCTTCTCCACCTTTTGTGTGCCCATCATCACTCCAAATCCTCCCGTGTCTACTAGTTTCAGCCTAAATTTGTCTACCACTTGGTTCGATAAGAAATTGTGGGTAGCCCCACTGTCTACCAAGATCGCCATTGCCTCTTCTCCTATATGTCCTCTAGTCCTCTAACTTTCATAGTGTGATTCAGGGTGAATCACACTACAGAGTTCAATGAAACTTCAACCACCTTCAAATGTACGGGCTCCTCTTTCTCTTCCTCCTCCATCATTGCTGCTTCCTCGTCCACCTTCTCCTCATCACACACAATGAGAACCTGCAAGGTGCGATTTTTACACCTGTCCCGGTGTAAATTTCTCGTCGCATATGAAGCATAGCCCCCCTTAGCTCTCTTGTCTTGCAGTTCAATATTAGTCAACATCTTGAAATCTTTGCTCTATCGGACTCCCGAATTGCCCTCCTTTGGAGTTCCATTTTAACTCGTATAGTCTGCACCCTAGATGCCAGGGATGTGGTCGTAGTGCTGTAAGAACCTCCTTCATTGACCCCTTTGCTACTCTTATATAGTGATTTCTTATTTTCAATCATCTGAGCCAACTTCATCGCTTATTTTCAATCGTCTGAGCCAACTCCATCGTCTTCTGTCAACCTGTTCACTGCAGAGTATCTCCACCCTATAAATCCACTCATGGGCTTTTTTCCTTTCAAATACAAGCATTTTTATCTTTCTAATATTCTAACCCCCCCCATGCCCCCTTCTGCCCCCCATGCCTCCCATGATGTGAGCATTGGGGTCTCTCCATGGTTCCCTTTCCTCCCTTCTCTGTTCATATTCCCTCATTTCTCCAAATTCAACTCGTTTGATCTCTTATTCCTATTCCCTCCCACCTGCATATTCTCTACTCATCCCCCTTCTCGGTCGGTAGAGGCTCTCCAGGTGGGGTATTTCCTCCTCTCTTAAAATTTTCACCTCTCCGTCTTCCCTCGGCATGTCATCTTTTTGATTTCTCATTGTTTACGGCGAAGCCGCTTTAGTAAGAAGCTCCAACATCCGCTTCATCATCTCCTCCATATTCCCAAACCTTCCATCTATCATTGAAATACGTTCATTCATCAATCTCACATCCGTTCGTAGTTGCCCTACTTCCCCCTCCAACTTTTCATCTGAACGCCTCAACTCTTCTTCCAATCATAAGTACCTGAATCAAGGCTTCAACCGCAAAAAAAGCAAATTTGATGCGAATCTAGCCTTCAATCAGCAAAAGGAGAGGGGAAAAACTCATCATAAATCAATGAGGAAAATTAATATTTCGGTTAGGACAACACTCTGATACCAATTTGATATGCCTATGTATCAAAACAGCTAACAAACCAAGATATAATTCAGCAAACCATTGATTTTTATTGATAAGAAACGCAAATCGAACAAGCAAGATACAATGGTCCTCTTTCGAGAGGAGGACCTTCTCTCCCAAACCCTAGATGCCGCTAGGATATCTCGTAAACACAATAGACAACACAAAACTCACAAAATTTTGCATAAAATAACTCCAAACAAATCCTAAAACAGTCCTAAATAAGCTCGCCAATTCCCTCCCAAAACCCTCTTTCCTTACCAATCTCTCTTCATTATTTGAATTCAAACCTACATTTATTCCTTACTTAATCCTTCTCCTAACATAAGGAATTACTGGTTTGCTGGGCCTCACAAGGGTGGCCGAATTTCCCTCTCCTGCTCCAGGTTTGCATGCGGCTCCCGTGCCTCTCGTGTGTGCGGCTCCCGCTATCTGAGTTTTGCCGGCCCTGTTTTGGGCCGGTTGTATTGAATGGACCGGCTCAGCTGGTCCATCATGCGTCGCCTATGAAATGGTGAAGCTTTTGTATTTTAGTAATGTAATTCTAAATTATACTTGGTCAGGATTTGATATTATGGGAAGGATGAATATGGACTTCAAAACTCAGTGAAGTAAAAAAATACCAACTCTTCTTTTCTTGTCATCAATTAGTAGCAGTCTAGCTTGTCATGACTGTAAATTTCATTTTGAGACCTATGAACTTTTGGGCATGTTATAGTTATGCTTTTTCATGCATTTTTGTTGCCATGGAATTCCCGAACATAAAAAAAAAAACAAAAGAAAACGAAATATCTGAATATCTTATTCCGCTTAATTTTATCTGCATTAAGATCAATGCTCCGTTCAACTCATCAGTGTGGGTGTATTTTTTATCACTATTCTTCTTGCTTTGTTATTTCATTTGTAGGTTTCTAGTTGCCCAAGATGTGGTGGCAGTGGCAAGATCGTGACTGATCATTGCAAAATGTGTCATGGTGAGGGCAAATTACAAATCAAGCGGAGTGTCAAAATAAATATACCTGCCGGTGTTGTTGATGGATCCACCATTCTAATTCAGGGTGAAGGAAGCTCAGATAAAAAAAGGTATGCCTATAGCAAAGATCAGAGTTGTAATAAATCCTATTAGATGTTATGGCCCTCCATTTTAATATATTATATTGGCGGTGTTCATTATAGGTTAACAAGAATTGAAGAGAATTGGTTGAATGTTTCATTTCAAAATTTTGTTGTATTTATATAATCCTAAGGGAGCTTACTACAACAACGTCAAGCTTTTATCCCACTACGTAGGGTCAGCTAAAAAAATCAAATAATAATAATTAAAGAATAATTATGATAGTCAATAGATTGATAAGTAGGCAGAGTATTAATTACAGAATAATTATGATAGTCTATTGATTGATGAGTATGCCCTTGACAGTTGGGATTACACAAATCAGTGACATTGTAGTAAAATATAAAATAAAGTGGGCGATAGACTTGGTGAGTGAGTTTCAACTGGCAAAAATTATGTAGACATTTTACACTACCCTGAAATGAAAGAATGGATGTCATCCATTCTTAGCTAGCCTAATAATTTTTAAAAGGTTTCCCACTTATAATGCTTTTGTGAAAATATTAGCAATTTGCTCTCCCGTGGTTACTAACATAGTACAGTTTTGAAGACTATCAAGTTTCTCCTTTATAAGGATCTATCAACTTCAATAGGCTTTATAAGGTCATGTTGCATAGGATTATGCACAATGTTGATGCTGACTTCTTGTTACAATAAAGTCTCATTGGATATTTAAATTCAATCTTTAAATCCTTATGTTAATTGTCAACCATAGCAATTCACAGATTCTTAGTATCAAGCTTACTATTATATTTTATTCTTTACTTCACCAAATCATGAGTTTTATTGACCTTGATAAGAGCTCTGAGGTGAGCCTGACTAAATATGACAAAAATGTCCTGCGACAAACACGGCATTGCGCATGTGCTGTCTAGAATGTGTCGACTAAAAAGTTGAAATCGTCTAAACAACATTTGTTTGCAAAACGAATTGCGCCGATGCATTCATGATAGTAGAGACAACACTTTTATTGCTTTTTTCTCTATTTCTCTCTCTCTCTCTCTCACACATTTGCTCTCTTATTTTTTTTCTCTAAAAAGAGAAGACAAAAAGTATTAACAAAAGAAAACGTAGAGAAAAAAAAAGCAATTTGTTTTCCTAGGGTTAGGGCAACTTGAATTTGGCTGAAATTTGAGATCTCTTTGATTTCTTTTGGGCTCTAGCGACGTCTAGAGATTGGGAAAGAACGATCCTCCTCTCGAATAGAGGATCAATTGTATCTTGCTATTTTCCGTTTTCCAATAATGCAAATTATTTACCGCTTTCATAATTTTGTGCGGATTTTTGTGAAGAATTCTCGCTGTTTTCCGAAGATTGATAGGAAATACTTGAGATCTACAAGTGTTTCCTATCACATTCAAGCTCGCCTAACTCAGTTTTGGCCTAAAGCTCCTCATTCCTTTAACATCTCACCCGCCTTTTTCCTTCAAGGAGGCCTAGGATCTTCTATACAAGTCATTTGTCATGCTCGACAATTCACTAAGGCTCACTCGCTGACTCACCCGGAGCCCACTAATCACCATCAAGCTCGTCGACACAGAGCCTGCCCGTTGACTTCATTACCTTTTAGCCTATCAAGAGCCAAAACTTATTTAGATTAGCGTATAACGTTGTATGAGTATTTTTATGCAGCTTTTCTTGTTGTCCTTAGAGCTCTATAAATATGTGGTGATGGGGAATAATTGGAGGATCCTGAATTTTCTCAGATAGTGGATATTTTACTAGCTTGATATCTATAGTTCTTCTCTACTCTCCTCGTACTCGCCATTCTTACTTATAGGTTTTAGCTCACCGTGTTTCCCTATTAGTAAAGTCAGGTATCACCCATGGACAAATTTAGATTCAACTACATGAAGACCCATATAAGCATTCATTGGCATGGTGAGATATAAGTGCCATCGATCGCCATGTCTTATGACACAAAATATATATGCCTTTTTTGTGTGGTGGGATGGTTTAGACTCCATGTATAAGCCGCTATGCTGGGGGGCCGTTTAGAGGCTATCAAAATTCTCAGTGAACCTAATTTTCATAGAATTGAAAAATAACAAAAATAAAAGAACTCTTTGAATTATATATTTTGTAAAAATATGAAAACGAACAAATTTAAGGATTGGGAAAAAAATCTATGAAAACTATTTGGCAAGAACCGAACTAGAACTCAGCTTACAAGGAACTTGTGTTGGATTTAAAATTGCATCAACGACCAAGCGGACTTATAATAATCTTGAGGCATTGCTTGCGAGTATAGAATCTTGTCATTACTATTAAGAACTTTCTTGAACACTATGGACCTATCAAGAAAACACTCAATGAATTAAATTGATAATAAAAATCAAGGTTTAAAAACGCGACATCAGGAATTGAGGCATTTTGTCTTAGCAAGCCGAAGTGTAAGCCTCGAGGCGCAAGCCTCAAAACAGAAAAATAAAAAACATATGAACTTATAAATAATTCATAAAAAAATAAAAATAAAACATCAACATATTTATTTGATTCATCATCATAAAGATATAAACTATAAATCTCAATATTAAATATTTTAATAAAATAGAAGTTTGAAATGAGATTTAAAGTAAACTCATTTAAAATTTAAATGCATCATAAAATTGGGATTCATGGCAACCTCATTATCACATACATATTTTTAATAATAGCCCTAGTATTTAATTATTATATCATCCTTGAATTTTGTCTCATTGTCATCTTCTTAACCTTCTTCAATTATATCCTTTTTTTAACTCCCCATATTAATTAATATTGAATGTAATTAAATATAAAATAAAGTAACAATTTAAAAACACAACAAGGTAATCCATCATAAACTATTTTATCATGGTTTAATTCGAGGTGCATCATAAGGTGTGTGCCTCGAACGATGTTTAAACCATGATAAAAAACGAATTAGAATTAACTCGTATTTATAGATACTCCCTTTGGGGCCAACAAGAGTAAAATGCAAGTTGCATATAAATAAATCATCTATTTGAAAACACTCTAAATATTGTAATGTACGACACTTTCTCAACCTGATCTACAACACACGCACAAGCCGATATAATGTGAATAATCTTGAACTCAAAATGAAAGTCGCATACACGTTCTAGAAGTAATATTCATGTGAATAAATGCTATGTCAGACTCTTATACATCTCAAACAATTGTGTTTGCAGGAAATGTCTTTCAAACAAAACATGATGGTCCAACTTGTTGCATGTTATGGTTGCACAAATGTCTTAAAGTGACAGGCATATTAAAGAATTGTAAATAAATAGTGCATCCTGTAAGTAAATAGTACACATCATGAATGAATAGTGCACACCATGAATGAAAAATTTTCAACAAGGTAAAATAGGCATGATGAACCAAGAAATCTCCCGGCCCTATTGTTAAGAAGAGTGAATTACTATTCTCATTAATAGCATTCAACCAGCCAGGTAACCATATGCTTCGACCTGCATTGAATGCCGGGCTATTCGTTGAAGATAAGAGTACATCGAACCCATACGAAGTCTTGCCATGAGCAGATTGTATCCATTGGGCAAATATGGGTTCGATTAAGATTTGTTTTTCCTGAGTATCAAAAGCTAGCACTATTGCGCATCATGAGTCGCATGGTTATTTCAACAATGTGTGTATGATGCATCAAATAAATGATATCAAATATATTTGCACAATATCTGAAATGTAACACTGTCGTTGCAAGGTCCCAAGCCCTGAAAGAAAAAAAGTGGAGGAAAATTTAGAAAGTTATGGGTCTTGTGTCTAGTAACTAGAAAAGGAAACATGAAACAAAAGAAGAATACTTCCAATGAAGGTATTAAAGATAAGAAGACCAGCTCCCCTTCCTTGCAAGCATCTCACAATTGGGAAGTTGGTGAACCATCCAAGCAAGCAACACCTCCCATAGACATTGATCTCTCCACTATGCAGTTGAAGTTTCCTACCGAAACATTTCCTCTAGAACCCGTCTGGACACCATCCAAGGAAAGATATTCTCTAAGACTCATTTTGCTAAGGAGCTTCAGTGTTTGGGATCTATTGCAAAATCAACCAAGAAAGTGGAAGGAGGGTGGCCGCTCAGGTGGTCAAAGTTGAGGTTCTCCATAGGGTCTTGTAGGGGACGCCACCATCTAGCTAAATCACCACTGGAGCACTGGGATACTTTTCAACTCTCTAGGTTGTTTTAACCTTTCTCAAGGTATCCTCCCTTCTCTCGAGCGTACCTTAGCCAGATTATTTGGTACTTACTGCAAGCACTTTGGTGGTCTCACGTTGGCAACAAAATAGTAGTTTTTTGTTTCTTTCTTCATGAAATGTAATGATGCATGAATAGTTATAGTTTGTATTATGCTTCTCTCTCTTTTATTTTTTTTTGCTGAGGGAGATCTCTTTTTAGAGGCTCCATCCATGTTGTACTCTGTATACTTTTGCCTTTATTTTAAAGTAATGTAAACGCTCTTGAAAAAATAGAGAAAAATGGATGGTCGCTTTAGTTATTAACAGACAACGTAAAACTTGTCAAATAATTATGTCATGAATCATTTAATATATTGTTTTAATGCACCGAGATACTTTTCAACCCTCTGGGTTGTTTTAACCTTTCTCAATGTATCCCCCTTCTCTCGAGCGTACCTTAGCCAGATTAGTTGGTACTTGCTACAAGCACTTTGGTGGTCTCACATTGGCAACAAAATAGTAGTTTTTTGTTTCTTTCTTCGTGAAATGTAATGATGCATGAATAGTTATAGTTTGTTTTATGCTTCTCTCTTTTTATTTTATTTTGCTGAGGGAGATATCTTTTTAGAGGCTCCATCCATGTTGTACTCATTGTATACTTTTTGCCTTTATTTTAAAGTAATGTAAATGCTCTTAAAAAACAGAGAAAAATGGATGGTCGCTTTAGTTAATTGACAGACAACGTAAAACTTGTCAAATAATTATGTCATGAATCATTTAATATATTGTT